GCCGCTGCCGCCCGGGGCCTTCGCTGCCGAGGGCGCGGCCGGGACGTCCGGCGAGGCCAGCCCGCCTCCGCGGAAGAAGAAGAAGGACATCCGCGACTACAACGATGCGGACATGGCGCGTCTTCTGGAACAGTGGGAGGTCTGCGCGCGCGCACGTCCGCCCCAGCTTCTCTGCGTCCCGGGCCCTGTTCCCGCTGGCCCCCGGCGCCCTCCGCACCCTCGCCCGGCCGTCTCCCGGCCCCCTGACGGCCTCTCTGCCCGGGCCAGGCGTCCTTGCTGGCTGCCGCGCGGGAACCGCCGCCGACCCCCGTGCCCCCGCCGGCCCCCGCCCCAGCCTTCCCCCAGGGCGCTCTTGCAGCGCTTCCCTGGCCACGCGGGTCCCGGGCCGGCCCCTCCCGCCTCTGCCCTTCTGTACCTTCGGTGCCCCGGCCGCGCCTACGGGGCCCCCGTGGTCAGTGGGCCCGGCACGTGCGGAGGGAGACCTTTCCACTCTGCTCAGGAATGTGGGGGGGGTGGCGTGAAGATCGTCCTTTTAAGAGGAGCGTCTCAGCTTTAATGGTTGGCCGGTCTTCTAGATCAGTAGGATTTCAGGCTTCTCGTTTTGCTGTATTCTCTGCTGAGAGTTTTGTAATTGGGGTGGTGGAATCAAAGGCTGGTGGCTCTCCGTAAACTCACATTTCCTTTAAAGGAGCAGAGACTTGTTTTTGTGAGAGTAAGTTTTTTGGTTCGTTACTTGAATGCACTGGAGTGTGTAATCTTTTTAGAGAAGGTTCAGCAAAGGAAAACACGTTGTGCCTTTTTCCCTTACAAAGGCGGTCGTATCGTCCTGGCTGATTTGCACAGCTGGTGGCGTGGAGTCAGAAACGTGGGTTCTACTCGCTGTGTAATCTTGGGCAAGTCCTGTTTCCTCTCTAGGCCTCAGGTTCCTTATCTGCAGAATGAGGTTTTACCCGATGACTCCTTCCCACGCTGATGTCTTTTTATTTTGTGGGTATCGCTGTGTACATGGGCGTGTCTGATGGAGGCTTTCAGAGTTTAAAATACCATCTGATGAATTGGACTAGAAGAAAGCAGACTTGTATTTCCGTATTTATCTGCAGGTGATGATGGCGAGATTGGGGTGGATTTGAGTGTGCGCCCCACTGATGAAGAGGGAACTCCGGGCAGCAGTTCCTTCCACCTTTACTGTCTCCTTTTCTATCTCCCGTCTCTTTATAGACTTGAACAAATGAAGGTTTTGATCCCCCAAAGAAGAACACTACCTCTTGAGGAAATCCTACCCTGGAAATACTAAGACTGTGAGCTAGACAGAGGGGCTGCTGCGGAGATGAGCAAGGGATCCGCCATCAGGAACTGTAGGTGACAGGACGAGTAACCCTAACACAAAGTAGGAATTGCTGAGTTCTGTAAAAAGGAAGAAAGTGTCGTGGGACTTTCAAAAGGTCCCAGGGAGGAAATGGCATTTTAGATACTCGAGGGTGGTGTGGGAGCAGGGCCACAGGAGCTGGGGTGGGGGGGCGCATGGGAACGGGGCAGAATGGTGCAAATGGTAACTGCCTAGGCTTTGGAATCGGACTGCCTGGTCTCAGACCACTTGTGAGTTTGGGCTGCTGAAGAACCTGTCCGCACTGTTAGTTTCCTTATCTGCAAAATAGAGGCGTTAGTAGTACCCACCCCAGAGTAGTTGGAGTATTAGCTTTAAGAGAGCCTGGAAGGAACATAGGGTAGTGCAACTCCCGACTGGAAGCCGTGCAAATATGAATCAGGTATCTTAGCTGGAAAAGGCTCTGTCTGAAGTTAAGTGTGGGAAGGTTGGTGGAGACCAGGTTGGCCTGGGCCCTGAGTGCTCTGGGGTCTACACTTTATTTAGAAGGCAATACACAGTCGCTGATGAGTTTGCAAAGCTGCATGACCCAAATACTATGATACTGGGACGCTTACACGTGATCATCCCTACCTCCGGACAGAAATGTGCATTCACTGTCTCATGTTCCCTCTGTATGCAGACATAGTTTTATAGCTGAGAGCATAACATCAATGTAATTTTCTGCTGTTCATTTTTTCACTTGATATATTGAGTGTTTCCCCGGGGTAACCTGCACAGTGTTCATAATACTCTGTAAAGCCTTCAGAGGATGCCCTGGAGTGGATGTTTCAGCTGTTGGGAGGTTTTGAATTGGGGATATCATGATTAGAAAAGATGGATTGGTTGGCAAAGGTTAGGATGGATGGGCAGGGAGAGAATCTGAAGGCAGAAACGACTTCTTAGTTAATATTTACTGAGTTTTCATTAGCTAACAGGACTACTCTGAGCGCATTCACTCATCTCATGTTCTTACCCTGTTTTCTAGATGATGACAAGGAAGCCCAGAGAGGTTAAGTAACTCTCCCAAAGTCAAACAGCAAGTAAGCTGAATTTCAGGCTGGGTCATTTGACTTGCAGGCCTGTTCTTTTAGCCACTTTACTACAGTTCCATACACACTGGCGAGCAGAAGTGCAAATGAAAGGTAATGAGGACGACCTGGATTAAGCCAGAAGCTGCAGGATCCAAGTGGAAGAGAGAAACGCGAGAGATTGTATGCGCAGCTTGGTTGGCTGGTGGATTGTGTGACCAGGCAGGAGACCGCATGATGTGCTGGAAGGTTGGGTTTTGAACCAGCTTTACCGCTTGGTAATTCTGTGACCGTCGTTTTCCTAACCGTAAAGCCAGAGACATCCCCCTTCGAGGGGTGCCGTGCAGACAAGATGAGCTAATGTTTGCAGACCCTCCACAAACGTGAGCTCCCCCCCCAGGAGCTGGGATTTTTCCTCCCCCAGTGGCAGTCCCTAAATCCATCTCCCAATTCCTTCCCACTAGTGTGAGAATTGGTGTGCCATGGAGAGGCCTGCCCCATGTGGGTGGGGTGGGGATGGGTAAAGGGAATGCTTTCCACTGGGTTAGACTTAATGCTGAGTCCCAACTGGTGTAGGAAAACCAAAGGCAGTTCTTTTCATTACACCTTACAGTGCGGGCAGGTGGGGGGAGGATTCCAGAGCCAGCAATGTGGGTTTGCTCTTCAGTGTCACCCCTGCTGGCATGTGACCTTGAGTGAGTTATTTGTCTTCTCTGGGCCTCACCCACCCCACGTTCCCTCGGGGCCTTGTAGGGCCGTCCTGAAGGCTCGGCGCCGGCTGCTCCATACATGCTAGCTAGTGTTACCATCAGGGACCACGGGAGCAAGGAAAGGATCTGCTGAAAGGGGAGTCAGCTTTGTGACTGAATCTGACTCAGCAGTGGAGAAGTGGGGAAGACGGCTGAAAATGCCTAGAGGCAGGGCTGGCCTGTTTCTGGGGAGTGCCTGGGGCTAGGGGCTTGATGGCGGTCCTCAGAGAAAGTAATGACCGCAGGTGAGATTCTGCAGGGAAGAAGCCTTGGGACTGCGGAGAGCTGGACTGATAGCCACGTTGGGGCACTGTTCTACCCCCCCACCCCTGTGTTTTTGTAACTGAAACAAATACACAAATTTCCAAGGATGGAAATTAAAGTTGCTTGAAACGATCCTTACACTTGCCATAGGCACTGGACTTGAGATTATTTAGTTTTCATTAAGTGTCGCCTGTGACCTACTGAGTTAATTTCATGACCTCTTGAGTGAAATCAGTTTGAAAAACAAATGTTCTAGGTTCCTGAGCCAGTTAGAAGTCTTGAGGTGTTTTAAGGAGATCATAACAGATGTTATGGAGGAGTAGAACGAAAACAGAAACAGCCCGTGAATTTGGCGACCAGGCGGTCCTGTGTGATTTTGACAGTGTGATTTCCGGAGTTGGTTGGAGGTGTGATTGTTGGGGCCAGCACAGGCTGTTTACTGCTTGTCTTTGTGTCATTGAATCCCCAGACCCTAGGAGGGAGATGTCGTCCCCCTCCCCCCATTATAGGTGAGGAAAGGGATTTTCTAAGCTGCCCAAGATCCTGTGACGGGACAGCACGTGCCCCTGACTGCGGATCGCCATCAGCTCACAAAGCAGAAGGGGAAGGAAATGGGTCAGTTGGGAGGGTTGCAGAGTTGAGGAGAAGCTTGGTATGTTGTGTGTAGTCACACTGCTGGGGCCTCGGGGATCACCTAGCTCTGCTTTTCTTTTTATAGACGAGGAGGCGGGCCCAGGGGAGTAAGGAGTCCTATGCAAGGTCACCCAGGTGGTTAGGTAGAGCTAACGCTAGATCCCAAATCTGGAATAAATGGGGCTCGCCTCCAAGCACTACTGTAGAAGTCTCTTGTGCTCCTCCTTTATTGAAAATATTTTAAAGTACATTATTGTTGGTGTCCTCGGTGATTTGTCAAGAGAACCACGGGAGAGTGATACAGGGGCTTTGTTTCATTTTAGGTTGGTCGCTTTTCTGGGTTCTTTTCGATAACAGCTTTATTGTGAGATAATTCACTTGCCATACAATTCAGCCATTTAAAGTGCACATTCCAGTGGTGTATTCAGAGGGTCATGCAGCCGTCACCACTCTCAATTTTAGAACATTGCCATCGCTCCAAAAATAAAATCTCATCTTACTCCCTCTCCCTCACTTCTCCCAACCCTCCAGCCAGCCCTAGGCAGCCACTAATCTCTGTTCTGTTCTGGACATCTCACCAGCGGCCCCGTACACCTGGTCCTCTGTGTGTGGCTTCTGTCACTTAGCATAGTGTTTTCGGGGACCATCTACCAGTACTTCGGTTTTTTTTGTTTTTGTTTTCGTTTTTGTGGCTGGAATTATTCGTCTTTTCTCTGAAGAACTCTGGTTTTTAAATATTTTTATTCATTGATCTATTTACCTGCCTTCCTACCTGTGAAAAGTCATGTGTCCCTTTTGATGCCTCCCAGTTCCAGCCTAATACCACAGGGTATATTCTTCCCCCTTCCACTGCTAGAACTCCCTTCCCCAAAGTGAAGAATGGGGCTGTCATTATCCTTAATACATTTACTCCTCGTGGAAGCCTAGATAGAATTCACGGATGGTAGTTTGAGGCTTGCTAGTTCACCCCACTGCAAAAACCAAGCCTGCTAACTAGAACTGAGTATTTGTTCTTACTGTTTAGTTAACGTTGACATACGTGAAATGCAGATTTTAAGCGTAGGGTGCTATGAATTTTGACAAATGGATACATCTGTGTCATCCATGCCACCATTAAGAAAGAGAACATTCCCATGACCTCAGAAAGTTCCCTTGTGTCCCTTCTCAGTCAGCCCCACCTCATTCCGCCTCCCAGGGGCCACCACTGTTCTAACTTGTCATCCTAGGTTAATTGTGTTTGAGCTTAAACTTTAAGTAACAGGCTTATAGCACATCTGATTTTTGTGCCTGGCTTCTGTCACTCAGTCTTGTCTTTCTGAGGTTTGGGACACATCTTCACTGCTGTGTTGCAGCTCACTGTAGGACCGAACCAGAATGTGGCCATTTTTACAATCTACCGTGCTGGGTAGATTCTTCCAGAGGGAAAGCACCGTTAAGCCATTACAGGGCTCTGGTGACCTGGAGTGATGGGTGCTAAGTCCCGCTGGAGACTTGGGCTTCCCCCAGAGGTTGCCTAGAGGAGGGAAGCTCCTGGGTCTCCTTTTTCCTGGGAGAACTTGGGTCGTCCGCCTGCACCTGCCGGCCGACAAGCGCATTCTAATGACTCGAGTGCTCTGTGCTCTCTTCTCATAGAAGGATGACGACATAGAAGAAGGGGATCTCCCGGAGCACAAAAGACCCTCGGCGCCTATCGACTTCTCTCAGATAGACCCGGGCAGGCCCGAGAGCATCCTGAAGATGACCAAGAAGGGGAAGACGCTCATGATGTTCGTCACTGTGTCCGGAAGCCCCACGGAGAAGGAGACGGAGGAGATCACCAGCCTCTGGCAGGGCAGTCTTTTCAATGCCAACTACGACGTTCAGAGGTAAAGCACCAGCAGGCCGGCTGGGGCCCGCGCAGTCCTCACCTCAGGCCCTGGGCCTTCCTGTCTCGGATTTCCCCTTACGTTTATTTCTCTCTCTTTTAAGAAGAACATTTATTATTGGTCACAGCCAGCAAGCTTTTTTTTTTTAATATTTCATTTGATCCTCAAGTTTTATTTATCTTTGTATCTTTAACTCTGTTGGGGGAGGGTAGCGGACACGCTGCGGCGGGTCAGGTGCGCGGCCCGGCGCTCCCTCGGCCGCGTGCTCTACTCCGCACCCTCCGGCTCCGAGCTCTCCTACAGCGCTGCGCCTTTCGTCCCCATGAGCTGGGGCAGGGCGGCCTCTGCGGGGCAAAGGAGTCACAGCCTGGCCACGTGCCCCCCTGGGGGGGGGTCCCTCCACGTGGGACAGCTTTCCCACTCGGCCTTGGAGCCGACTGCCGAATCCAGGTGAAGCGGTGGGGTTCCTTCAGCCCAGCGCGGCCCTCCCGTGCAATGCTCAGGGATTTCCTTTTTCCTCCTCAGTAACAGTCCTGAAATTCAGGGTCTTCAAACGTCCTAGTTCAGGAAACAGAAATGACAAAATGTGAAGGAACACTTAGTGTCTGCGATGGCGTGATGCTTTCATTAGCTTGAGCAGACGCATAGGGAAACAGGTAAACGGTCAGAGCCCCCGCTGCCCTCCCAGGGGCGGGGCGTGGCCCTCAGGGACGAGGCCTTCGTGCCCCTGGCCACACCGGTGGGCCGCCTAGGCCCCATTCTGCTCCTCTTCCCCCTTGGGACCTGCTGAGTTCTGGCGTACGTGGGCTGCCTGTTACCCTCGGGGCTCGGGATCTCCGTCCATTGGCCGAGTGTGTCTCCCGACCCCTCGTGGGCCCCTTACGATGACCCAGCCTAAGCCCGTGGTTTTCAGCCTTTGTCCGCAGAAGGCTTTTGGCAGAGGAAACCTTCACTGGGCACCTCGGGATGCAGAACAGACGCCCTCCTCCACGGCGGCAGCCCCACAGCGCCGGGGGCGGTTCCCCAGGCCCCTTGCCGACGCTGTCTCTCAGCGCGGGCATCCACGCCCCACACAGCCCAGCTTCTGTGTCTCTGGGATTTGAGCTGAGGCGTGAAATCGTTTAGTCAGTAGCTAAACTACAGGTTTTTGTTCTGTGTTCATGTTGAATTTGGGAGGGATGATTTTTCCTGGTTGCGTGCCACAGAGTGGCTCTGACCCATTCGTGCTTTACTAGTGTGTTCTGACCATACGATCGCATGTCTCTGTCAAGGTTCATCGTGGGATCGGACCGTGCGATCTTCATGCTTCGTGATGGGAGCTACGCCTGGGAGATCAAGGACTTTTTGGTCAGCCAAGACAGGTGTGCCGATGTCACCCTGGAGGGGCAGGTGTACCCCGGCAGAGGAGGGGGTAGCAAAGAGAAAAATAAAACAAAGCAAGAGAAGGGCAAGAAGAAGCAGGAGGGGGACCCGAAGTCTCGGGCCGCCACGGCTGCAAAGGAAGACAATCGAGCTGGGAATAAGAGGGAGGAGTTGTGAGCGGCCACTGAGGCCCCTTGGGAGGAGCGCCCCGGGCGGGGGCAGGCGGGAGCACCGCTCGCCGAGGACATCCTGCTTTCTTCTGGAAAGGCTCTGCCGTAGGACCAGTTTGTGGTCCACGTGAGAAGTACTGTCTAAAAGGCTTCAAGTAGGAGGACAGAGGTCTCGTCATTCCTGTTGGACAATGACACTTCCACGTTTACCAGAAAATCACTGTAAATGGAAACCCAACCATTGCTTTTGCCATTTCTGTCTGGGGGCGTCACTGGCTCCTGCGGCCCCACCCTCTCCCCTCGCCGGCCCTGACCCAGGGGCTCGCTGTGTCCGTGCTCCCCTCCTTTCTGTTCACGGAAGCGCCGCCACGTTCTAATCAGACCTGGACTCAGCGGGACCGGGCTCTTCGGGCCGCAAACTCGGTTTTGGGGACTGTGATGTCGAGCACGCCGTGGGAGCCCCGCGTGGCGCTCTGGGTCCTGAATGTGCGGTCAGGACGCCGGGATGTCTGGCCCCCACATCGGTGCAGAGAAAATCACGTAGCCTGCAAAGCCCAGGTCTTCACTGTGAATCCCCAGAGGGCTTCTCGGTACCCGTCTGGGTTTACGTGGGCTGTACGGTCGGGGCTGTGTTTCCTTGTGTGGGGCAGCCATGCCACGGTCGAGGGTTCGAGCGCGCCGTCCTGCGAAGACGCTGAAGGGGGGGCATCGGGAGTCTGCAGGTGGGACGGAAGACTCCCTGACCTCGTTCATTTCTGAACATTGTTCTTCGATGAAGTGCCTAAGCTTGTGGTGTTTAGTGTGGAGCTAACATGGCTCGGTTCCTGCTCCTGTTGGGAATTGCTGTTCATGCAGCAGACGGGACTCGTGTGCGGGTGTCGCTGGTAGGAACTAAAGTTATTTGTACGAAACTTCCATTGTGATTTTAGCAAGTGAAGACTAGCTCGTGTCCGTGCTTCCAGGTGTTACTGCTGGAGGAAGGTACAAAGGGACAAGTCCGTGCCTACCCCCTGCCGCTGCCTCATCTCAGGGGAAGCTCCCGTTCTTTGTTTCCAAGGGGAAAAAAGTTCACCAGCATCTTCTAGTGACGTGTTTCTTCCAGCCTCTGTGTCCCCTGATTCGGCAACTCTTCAGATTTCCCTTGGATGAAGCGTGCGGACGGATGTCCACCCTGCCGTCCCCGCCTCCAGCCGCCCTCGCGGCGGGGCTGAAGGGCATCAGGCCCAGTCAGAGCTAATCCCGGGGTCCGTGTGCCTCGGCCACCTCAGGAGGAGGGCTTTCTTGTGTCCCCTGCTCCTTGAATGGGGGCGCGTGAGGCTGGGGCTGCAGCTCCCCGGCCCCGGCCCGACGAGGGCTGTCTGAGCCCCTGGATCCAGCCCCGGGTGCCTGGCTGCGTTCAGTTTTTACCTCGGGAATCTGCTGGCTTTCTATCCACTCTAGCTGATACGGATCATTGCTTTACCCGACATGGGGAGGGTACCCTTCACACTGCCCTGTACCTTGTATTTCCACGTGAGGATGTACTAACCTCACTGCTTCCTGTGCAACGGGCAGCCATGTCAGCCAGTGTTTAGAGCGTCGGTTAGTGTGCTGGGCACACGACAGCCCCTGCTGTCCTGAAACTTAATGACCCGGTGGAGGAAGACAGATACTCATCACGCATAAAATGGCAACTGTTAGATGAAAGAGGTGCACAGTGCCAGGAGGTGGGGGTGGAGGCGGGGGGAGCCTTCGGATGGTCAGAGGGGTCCTCCCTGAGGCAGGAGGCAGAGGAACCGTCTGTGCAAAGGCCCTGTGGTTAGAAGGAGCAGAGGAGGGATGGCAGGAAGCCAACGAGGAGTCGGGGGCATAGTGCAACACCCGCCTGAAGAGGGACGAGGTACACGGGGCCTGGCAGGAATTTGGGGCGCCCTGAAGGATTTTGAGCTGCGCTGGGGTGAGCATGAGAGACCATCCCATCTGTACTTGGCTGCACTGAAGAACCGATTGCGCGGGGCCCCCAGTGCGTGTGAGGGACAAGTTGGAGAGTGTTTCAGTAGCTCAGGCCACAGCTGCGGGTGGCCCCAGTGAGCGGCGTGGCGGTGAGGGGTGACCCACAGTTGACCCGCATACTGCCTGCTGGTGGACCCTTGGGTTTTTCCTTAGTAAGTGGAGCTGCCAGAATATTTTGGTAACTTTGTATCTGAAGGGCAAATTCCTAGCAGTGGAATTGCTAGAACAAACAAAATGTAACATTTGGTCTGTGTTGCCAAACTGCTGTCCCGAGCGGTTTTGCGCACTTGTACCTTCACCAGCGATGGGGCTCAGATCCTCGCTGGCGCCGGGCACTGTGCTGGCCGCCGCCAGAGATGCAGACCCCGGAGCTGCCTTGGCTGCCCCACAGAGCTAGAGATGCCAGCCAGCCGCACCTGTGCCCAGAGGAGCTGCCGCGACCCGCCGGGCTGGATCCGCAGACTCGCCAACAAGAGAGAGGTGTTGAAGAGAGGGGGGCGGGACATATGCAGATCCCTGCAAATGAGAGTTTAGTCTTGCCTGTTCGTGTTGGTGTTAATGTCTTGATCCAGTACGCTTGCGTGGTAGCTTTTGTCTACCGCCTGTGAGACCCGAGAGCTTCGTTAGGTAGACCGCCTTCCTCCCTTTGTCCTCACGCCCTCTGGGTTTTGATGGTTATTCTCTGGTTTTTAGTACTTCTGGTGCTTTCCTTTACAGATTATGTTAAACCTCTTGCTGTTTTTTATTACCAATTTCAGTAACATGTATGCACCCCTAATCGAGGCAGGGAGTTCACAAACTTTCTCCTACTGCCCCGATCCTTGTGAACCGTGTTATGTGTATTGGTCTGAGACCAGCCACTCTCTCTCCTTCATAATGACTGCCTTTTCTCTCAGCTTCCTGGGGATCCTTCCTCAATGAGAACATTCAGTAATTCTGCTAGGAAGTCTTAGTGTTGATTTTCCTTTTTTTTTTTTTGAATTCTCGTAAAAGATGGTGTGTTACTTTCCATTGCAGATTCAGGGATTTTTTTTTTTTTCCTTATCGTTTTGGAAACATTTGTCTTTTACTTTTGTGTTGGGGTTTTGGGCACCCATTTTTTTCTTAGTTCTGATGTGAGTTTTTTTTTTTTTTCCATTTCATTCTGTTTTTAATCTCAGTGAGCTGTTTTTATTAAAATTCAAGGTTTTATTAAATTTTATGAACTCAGAAAGTCCAAATGGAGAATCTCCCCCTTGGGTTATATTTTTTTCCCCCAGAATGGACTATTTCTCTGTGTTCATCAGTGTATTTGTTCTTTTGTTGTTGTTTGGTAATTTCCAAATGTTTGGATGGCTGCCAGTTCATTGCTTTTCCTCTTCTTGTTCATGCTTAGTGGACACAGCGTTTCCCAGACGTTGGCCCACAGCATCTATTTTAGGTGAATTCTGACTCCCCTTGCTCCTCTGAGTGTTGTTTTGTTTCGCTGGAGCTGTGATCCAAGGGCTTGGGGTGCCATCCCTCAGCTTTTCCGTAGCTGAGCAGGACCAGCAGGGGCCCAGGCAGGGCTGCGTGCGGTCTGGCTTGACAGGCAGGCTCTGCGCTCCTGTGGTTTCTACCCAGTGTCCTGGATTAGGCGGCTCCTCCCCACGGTGGTGGGAGGGGGTGACCACCATTCCTGGAAGCCACTTGTCACATCTTTGGAGAGTTTAAAACACTAGCAGTGGACCTTGGACCGTCGGCTCCCCTCAGGGAGGGTCTGGCTGGAGTGTTCTTTGCTTCACTCTGGGAAAACCAGGTCTTCTGTGCCCAGAATGTGGGGTGCTGCCGTTGGCCAGGGCAGGACGAGGGGGTGGGGGCGGGGGGCGAGGCGCTCGCTGCAGGCACACGGTGGAGGGGGGTCACCAAGCACAGCAACCAGCATCAGTCAGATTTTAATGCTGTACATAAAAAATATAGTTAATGTTAAAAACAACACCTGACAACAGTTGACCTTGTTAGAGATGGAATCAGACAGAGCAGGGATGAGGGTGGATGGTGAGGCCACGCTGGAGAAGCGTGGGGTGGAGTCGTCCTCTGTTTTCACAGTTCATACTCCCTGACTTCCCAGGTTCTTGCTTCCAGAGGAAGAACTGAAATCCTTATTTTTACCAAGGTAACATGACAGCGATGTTAAGAGGTCTCTATAGAAGGAAGAAATTCATCTGCCAACACCTCGCCGAGCTCTCGGAGCTCCTGTCATTTGACCACATGTCCTTCAGAGCATGATCTCTGCACTTTCTGTCCTGGCAGAAAGACCAGTCCCTCTTCAGCTCTTACCACTTAGCTTTCTATTGTAATACAGCGTCCACATCGCCATATAGACTTCACGTCTGATGCTTAGCAGCGCTGTGATGCTCCCATGCTTTTGCTGTGCCTTGATTTTACTCACCAGACCGATGTTGCGGAGAAAGTCGGGCCAGACCACGGTGCCAAGCATGGCTCTGTTAACGGTCTTCACCTCACTGTCCACGCATCCCCCTCTGGCAGCGTCGGCTTCAACCCAAGCCCACCCGGCTCGCACGAGTGACCCTACCCCGCACCCCCTTGGTCATGGCCATTTGCCCCGGACGTGGACCCCTCACGCCAGAGACTGAATGACCCGGTGGCTGAGTCACTGAGAGATGAGCAGCTAGAGTGAAGGCGTCAGAACCTCTCTTGGTGAAGTTTCTAGATTTGCCCTGCATTTCTGACCTCCTGGGCCTTGACTGTTTAGGTTGACTCAGGATTCTGAGAGCGAGCTCTGGGTCCTTGTAATCAACTTTCCCCCAGAGCTGCTTTGGAGAGGGCTCTGCTACTGGTCTAACCAGCCCCGGCCCCATCTGGTTTGTCTGATTCTCCGATGACGTGTGTCAGGAGAGGATAAATCCAAGCGCAGGTGTAAAGCCCCCCCGCACGGGGCTGGATCAGTGCTCCCTGTATCTCTTTCTAAACTATTGAATGTTTGAGTTCTTTTTAGCTCCTCACAATCTTAAACTGAAACTCGTTCCTTGCGTCCCTGAAGATGAGTCCTTTAGTCTTGGCTTCAAGATTACTGGAAGAAAGGACATGTTCGTATTGTGTGTTGTCACTTTATTTCCAAAAGGATTATATCCATTTGCACTGTCACCAGCAGTATATGAGAGTTTGTCCTCTTCTGCCCATTCTGCCAAACACGGACCAGAAAGGGGCATTATTTTTAATTCATTAGTGTGTGTATTTGTTCAGAAAAACACTTACTGATCACCTACATGCCAGCCATAGTTCAATACGTATAAAACAGTAATTTATTTTAATTTGCGTGCCTTTGAATATTAGGGGGGCTTCGTGTTGTCTGTGCTTACTGAAAATCCCTCCTGTGAAAGTGATTTGTTCTTTTGTCTCAAATCTATTGGTAGATTCTGTTCAACAAAAATTGTGTGCTGGATACTTGTTATAAATGACGAGGAAGACGTTATTCAAGAGAGCAAGGGTGTGCCCCCAACGCTGAACACAGCAAACAGCGGGGAGGCCTGAGGGCTGGGTGAGAGGAACCTGTTGGAAGGCTGGGCGTTCTTGCTAAACTGGCCGCACGGGATTCTGACCGAAGGCAGGCCCAGGACTTGGGTGTCAAGGGTCGGGGGCAGGTGCTGGACTGACTTAGCAGGGTCCTCTGCCAAAACTGGGCTCAGCAGGCCAAGCCAGGGGCCTGGTTGAGATGAATCCTCAGGGGAGCCTGACTAGTTTGGTCAAGGACAGGAGTTTGCCCTCTCCTAGCTTTGCAATGTGTGTGTCCTTTGTTGAGCACAGTGTGAAATCTGGTGAAGTGTTTTCGTGTGGTGAGGCCGTGAGTTGACCCTCAACCGGACTGGGTGAGTCCGAGGCTCAGTGCCGAGGGCGCGCTGCGGTGGGCAGGGACCGGGCTCTTCACCGGGGGTCCTGGGGTTGCAGGTCTGAAAGGAGAAGCCTGAAGAGGAGAGTAGCTGAGTCGGACCCTCCAGTTCATTTGGGGCTGGGGGCCGAGGAGGAGGATGATGACGGCAGCGACAAGAAACTCGGCTCGGACTTGAGAACCTCCACACCTTCCCGTTACCTGCCTCCCTGGAGCCTCGCACCTGCCCCGCCGTGGAGCCAGCCGAGGGGGCAGGGGCTGGCCGGCCATGGCAGGGCCAGCGAGGGCTCCGCCTTCTTCACGGGACCCTGTTGGTGAAGTAGAACTGTTCCTTCTCTCCACCGTCCAGCCCCGAGAGCTAGGGACTGCTGGGGCAGCCGGGTGGCCAGACCCTCTAAAGCAACCAGGGTCTCCCATTTAGAGTCCGCCCAACAGTTAGGGGTGTGTCCACCAGGGGGCAGCAGAGACCGGCCTCTGCCCGCAGGCTGCCTCCCTGGGGTGGGAGTCCATCAGCCCCTGTCCTAAGGAACCCGTCACTCTGTCTGCACCTGCCGGGCATCTGTGCACGTGTGAACACACCTCTTCCTCCAACTGCCTCTTTGGAACATGAAAGACTCCGATCCTTGTGTCGTCCACACATACTAATGCAGTTCGTCCTTGCAGTGACCCTAGGCAGGCAATGCCGAGGCACAGAGAAGTGGAGGGTTTTTCCCAAGGTCACACTGCTAGGGATTGACAAAGGCAGGATTCGAACCCGGGCAGTCAGGCTCTGCCTGGGAAGGGGCTGCTCCCACACGTGGCCAGTCCCCTCACTCACCCAGGACTCACTGAACACCAGCGGGCTCCTGGAACTGCGAGGGCGACGGGTATGGTGACCAAGGCAGGCGAGTCCCTCTCTCGGCGGAGACAGTGTGGTAAAGATGCTCGGTGTCGTTCACCACCTTCTGAGAACCCACTGTGTGCAGGCTGTTGGCACACTGGATTTCGCTCACTCCCCAGAGCCACGGGCTTGCGTGGGGCCGGTTAGAGCGCAGGTCTGCAGTTGGACCCCCCAGCCCCCCACTGCCAGAGCTGCGGCACTGTGGGCACGTTCAGTAAGCACCCGGCCCAGGTCCCCGCATCCTGGGAGCATAACGGGGGTTAAGTGAGCAAAGCCACGTGAAGCACGCAACACAGCGTTCCGTGCGTGCCGACTGTTCCCACGTTTGGGGGTTCTTAGGTGAGTGAACAGAGGCTCGTGGGGGTTGACCCAATTGTCCCAGTCACAGCTGGGAGGAGGCACCAGGCCTGCCTGGGCGGCTGCGCTCCCCCTGTAGCACAGCTCCCTAAGGGGTGGCAGAGGGGATGGTGGAGACTGCCTCGGAAGCAGGACAGCCGTCTGCCCCGCACGCTGCATGCAGCGCGGTGGCCTGCGTCCTTCCAGGGAGGAGCGCCACCCCCCTCCCTTGGTGTTGCACTCCCAGATCCTTGTGTGGCCCAGGGCCTGCACTCTGGCAGGGCCTTCATCCCGCAAAGGGCGAAGACCAGGGCCAGGTGGTCAAATCCCAAATCCTGGGTGGACCACAGGCTGACGGTGCCATTTGCAGGACCAGGGATTCTAGTGGGCCCGTTTAGGAGGTCCCACCAAGTATCACAGGCCAGAAACTCCGGGGCCTTCTCCACCTGGTCCACCTGAGCTGTAGCCGAGGCCACTTGGTCGACTCCCCACAGGGCTTGTTGACCTGACCCACACTTCTCCGCGCATGCGCCTGCCGCTCAGATTCCATCCAGCCCTGGTTGGACTAGAGCGGCCCGGCTGGCAGGGTGTTCCAGGCTTGGAGCGCGGTGCCTGGCAAACCCAGGGCAGTTCTCTGTCCTCCAGAGAAGTCTGCCGAAGTTTTCAAGGTGAAGCATCTGAGCCCACAGATTTGGAGCCCAGAGCAGCGTGGGCAGGGAGAGCTGCCGTCTGGAATGTCAGGAATTCCTGGGGACATCTGGTCCGCTCTGCATCTGCTCTTCCCGGCCAGGCCAGCCGGCATTCTTCATCCTCTTCATCCGGGGAGTGAGGCTTCTCGCCGTGGGCTTGGATACACGGGGGCCTCTTTGATCCTCGCCTCCTGCCTCAGCCCTGACTTGGATGACTTTGAGTGCCATATTTGATGTCCCTCGCCCTCACCTCTTCTATAAACGGGTGATGAGTTCCGCCAGGCCTGGAATTTACAGACCAGGATCCGGAAGAAACAGAACAAGAGGGACTCCTTTCCAAAGCCAAGAAGGGTCCCTAAACCCCTAGGATAGAACGAACCTTCCTTACAGACTCCCTGAGGTCTTTGCTCCTCCGTTAGAGCCCCTTGAGGGTAAGGGTGGTAGTTTCTGCCTTTGGGCACCTGCTTCCAGTTTTGAATCCGTGTATGTATCTGTCACTTCTCTGTGCCACAGCTGGACCAGACCAGCGTTCCCCAAAGGAATTTAAACAAGGGAACAGCCCCTGAGGAGGAGTTGGCCACTGCCTGCTAGTTCTTTGGGCTTTGGAGATGCGGAACCAGGAGGGAGGAAGAGGTGCAAAGGCCCGGGGCACGAGTGGGCATGGCCAGGATGGACGCGGAGGGAGGGAGGCGGCCGGTGGCTGTGGGAGTGTGGCCCTGTGTGGGGTGTCAGAGCCGGAGGGTGTGTGTGTGTGCATGCGCGTGTGAGCACGCATGTGTGTGCACGTGTGCGTGTGCGTGAACACGTCCGAGGTGGGGAATGCTGACCAGCTGGGCTCCAAGGTCGTCTAACCTGGAGCCCGTAACCCACAGGGATTCTGCCGCTGACTCCACCAGCGAGTGAGTGGGGTGTCGCCACAAACTTCGGAAACAGAATCTCAACGAGGACTGATAATTCATCAAAGCAGACCGTAAGTTATTTAGTCGTTCCGTGTAGCTGAACACTGGGCTTTTTCGACCCTGTCAAATGAGTACAAAGAATCCCAGAATGAGCAGTTTGATACCCAGGCTCTGTTTGCCCAGGTCAATGCCCCCTAAGTACTTAGTAGCTCACCAAAACAGACTGTTTTTAAGACTCTTGACTCGTAATGCTAAATACTCCCTAAACCGGCCACTTCCAACTTGCAGACGCCTTTTATCACAGAACTGTTGTGAAGGTGCGCGAACACAAAGCAGTGTGCGAGGTCTGCTGGGTTCCCGGTCCCTGTCACCAGCTTTGATAATTGTCCATATTTCCATAGTCGTTTTTAATCTGTGTTTTGGGAAAGGGAACATGCCTCAATTTAACCACCCTCTGATTATTGACTATTAGGGTTGTTTCAGAGTTTCCGTTACCGTGTAAAACACCGCAGCGAAGGCCCCAGTCACCGATCCTCACGCACCCCCATAGCCCTCTGCTAGGATGCATTCTTGGACACAATTCTGGAGCCAAACTTTGCACACATCTTGAAATCACTTTTACGTAATAGTAAATCACTTCATAGAAATGTGCACCAAGCATCTGATCACCGTCTACGAGTATCTGTACTGGTCCCTTAGCGGTCAGTTTGATGGGGATCAACAGCATCTTACTGTTGTTTCAATCGGCATCATATAATTGCGGTTGAATTTTTAAATGTATTTATTTCCCATTTGTACGTTTTCTTCTGTGAATGGCCCCTTCTGGTTTTCCTTCTGGTTCCCCCCCGCAACCCCCGCCACCTGCCTACGTAAACTTTGTAAGAGCACCTCGTGTATAAAGTATCAGTAGAGTCCAGCAGGAGGCCCTAGGAAGGATCATTTCATGAAGGGGCCACTTGCCAGCTCTGAGTAAAGTTTGGGCCACAGCCAGGAGTGGGGCAGAGAGCCTGGGCCTGCAACCACAGGAAGCAGTCACCAGCCCGAGGCCTGGGGAGGCCTGGGGATGCCGGGAGGGAGGGCGGTTACTGGGCCCCAGGCGGACGGTTGGAGAGGGCCCTGGCTTGCTTAGAGGGATAGCGCCAGCCCACAGAGACCCAGCAAGGAGGGAAGCAGTGACCCTCAGTCCCTGAGCCAGCACCCCCCACCTCCTGAAGGGGCCTCCCGCCGGCCAGCCCCGCGGGCAGTCGGGCAGGGAGCTGCTCCTGGGGCGGGCCGAGGACGGCGGGGTGGAGCGACACAGGGGCCCAGCATGTCCGCAGATACCTACTTCTTACCTGGGAGATCCCTTTTAAGCTCGTTTCCTCCGTTGCTTTGTCTTCAGTATTCTTTAGGATTTTAAATTTTAGTAATTCCACGGAGTGCTGGCAACCAATCTTGATGACTTCACCTTCAGGGTTATTGCTCAGGAGAGCACTCCCCATCCCCAACTTTGTCTTTATTCAGCCACATACTGTGTTCCCTCTGGCCTGGGAAGGACAAGAAACCACTTTAAAAGACACCACGAAGCAAGTCCCCATGTTAGCAGCCTCTTTCTGCTACCAGAGGGAACGTGGTCCTGCCCAGGGGGTGCAGTCCTTGCCCACTTCCCTTGGCTCTGGGAGGGTCTGCTGTGAGGCAGAGACCGGCACAGAGATGGGTGTTGCCCTCAGGGCTGCCTTCCAAGCTCTCTGCTGCCTCAGCCCCCTGCCGGCGATGGGCTGGAGCCCGCTCACGCCAGCTCCCGAGAACCAGGGCTCCCACGGACGGGACTCTTGGGCTCTGCAGCTTGCCATGGGCCCTGTCGGGACAGTCACACCGTGGGCTTCAGCACACCAGAGCTTTCTCCTCCTGCCCTGCAGCCAGCTCACCTGCACCCTCTCCTCTTCCTGCTCTGCGTCCCGAGCCCCCCATCCCTGCCGACTCCTACAGGGTGGGGCACAGAGCTGGGGGCTGGAGGAGGAGGGGCAACAAGCCTTCTCCAATCTGTGCGGTTGCAGATGTCCTCGGATGCCCTCTGTTAGGGCACGTGTCCGAGTGTTGGCTCTTTGGCTTGGGACGTGTTCTGGGTTATTCCCGGATACTGTCCTGCCTACTTTGATCTGAGCAATACAGTTTCCAGTTGGACACTGGTAAAACCACTTTCTCCTTCAGCTCCTGCCTCTGGAGGCACCCACAGCCCCTTCCAGTAAGCTACTAAGGGTCCCCCAATCGGAGCAGGCAGCCATCTGGGGCAGCGGCCTTCAGGCTAGTTCACGCTGGGGGTAAGCTCCGTCCTTGCCCAGCCCAGAGGTGGCCGCCCATCTATGCAAAGGCTGCACTCCGTTCTCCTGGGAACTGCGTGTTCACTGGGTCCTCCTTCAGTTACCCCCAGGTGAGCAGAGAGACATCTTCAGCCTCTACCCTCCCGAGTGACAGGGAGACAGGGCAGCTCTCCTGAGGACGCTCTTCCCCACGTGGGCAGCAGCTGGGGGGTCTGTGAGTTTGGGGCTCAGCAGTATCCAGCTGAGAAGTGAAATGTCAGTCTTGTCTTCCTGCAAATTCCCCATCTCCCCAAGAGAGGTTCTCTTGGCAGCCCTCCGCTGGCTTGGGGGCTGCACCCCTGGAGGGGGGGAAACATTCTCTTCTTGGAATTTCTGTCAGGGAAGGCCCCCTGGGCAGAGTCTCTCGCCTTCCGTTCCCTAGTTTGGAGGTGAGTGATGGGGCCCCGAACAGCCCTCTCCACGCATCCTTCAGGGACGACTCAGGCAGCACCTGCTCAGAACGTGGGTAACTGTCACCCATTGCCCCCACCAAGCCCCGCTGCACAGACTGGTCCTTGCAAGAGGCAAGTGTGCTTACAGCTCCATCGTGTTAGGGCCACCACAGTCATGGGCTCTGCAGATCCTTGGTGCTGCTCGAGGTGGTGGCCCAGAGAAAATCGTCTTTGCTCCACAGAGCACCCGGATGAGTGTTTGGATAAGAAAAGAAATGCTTAGCCCATTTTTTTAAAAAAGATTTTATTTATTTGTCAGAGAGAAAGAGACAGACAATGCACAAGCAGGGGGAGCGGCAGAGAGAGGGAGAAGCAGGCTTCCCGCCGAGCAGGGAGCCTCATGCGGGGCTCGATCCCAGGACCCCTGGATCCTGACCTGAGCCAAAGGCAGCCGCTCAACCCAGCTGAGCCCCCCAGGCGCCCTGCCTGATTTTCTTTTTTAAGTGTAATTGGTGGAGGGAAGCAGCAATGCTTTGGATAAGGTGAGAAGCATTCTGATTTCCCAGACGCAGCAGCCGGACCCAGGAATTCACTTAAGGTGTGTGCCTCGGGGGGCGGGGGGGGAGGCGGACAAACTTTGCGGCAATGATGACTAATTTTCTATTTTAGTTTGTTGCTCTCCCATATTCCCAAGCCTTCAGCAAAATCCTGCTGCGTATGAGTGACTTCCCTGTGTTCGTATAATTTGGGGGGATCAAGAAGGAAAGGGGCCGTGTTTCCCCCCGAGGTCATTGTGTAGTGGGGAAAAGGAACAGACAAGGGAGGTCCGAAGCAGAGGCCAGCTCTGCATGGGAGCAGCAGAGGCTCATGGGCGTGCGTGCACGTGTGCATGGGCATGTGTGCGTGGGAGCAGCAGAGGCTCATGGGCGTACATGCATGGGAGCAGCAGAGGCTCATGGGTGTGCATGGGCGTGAGTGTGTGGGAGCAGCAGAGGCTCATGGGTGTGTGTGCGTGCGTGTGCGTGTGCATGGGCGTGTGTGCATGGGCAGGACTCGGCAGTGAGGGGTGGCGCTGACCTTCTCCCAATCACGGGAGCTTGAGCAGGTTCATTGACTAAGAGAAGAGGTGATCCCCAAACACTGGAGACACCCAAGCAGCCAGTATTTGTTGGGTAAACCTGGAGTCAGCAAATTACTTAATGTCGTTCTCTTGGTGGGATCTGGGGGTCTTCAGTTGTTAGCAAGGGGACGTAAGGTGTTTGTGCACTATCACAGTCTGTTGGAGCTATCTTTCCAGGCTTTGCTAGCTTCACGTGTCTGCGCCGCAGCTGGGCACTTCTTGTCATATGTCAGACTTGCTCACCATTATTATATTTGTCCTGGTGATCTGTGATCAGGGGTGATGACTCCCTGAAAGCTCAGATGAGGGCTAGTGTTTTTTAGGGATATGGTATTTTTTTTTTTAATTTTTAAAAAATCTTTTTAAAGATTTTATTTATTTATTTGACAGAGAGGGAGAGCACAAGCTGGGGGAGCTGCAGGCAGAGGGAGAGAGAGAAGCAGGATCCCCGCTGAGCAGAGAGCCCAATGCAGGGCTGGATCCCAGGACCCTGGGATCATGACCTGAGCCGAAGGCAGATGCTCAACTGACTGAGCCACCCAGGCACCCCACGATACAGTATTTTAAAATTAAGGTGTGTACGTTGGCTTTTCTAGACATAATGCTATTGCATATTAATAGGCTACAGTGTGGTATAACCGTAACATTTATATGAGCTGGAAATCCAAAGTTCACTTGATTTGCTTAAGGCGACACTCTCCGTGTCATGTGGTCTGGAGCAGAGCCGCACGCCTCCGAGGTCCTCCCCCTTCTCGCTTCCCTCTCCTTCCCCTGCCCCCGGGGGAGGGGGCCTCAGCGTGCGCTCAGAGGGCAGCTGGGTCCTGGCCTCCATGAAGAGGGCAGAGACCGGGTCTGCTGATGCCTTCGTTCGACATTCGATACCACATTTACAGCGCACAACTCTGCCCCCTGTGGGAAGTCGGGTGGTCCCGCCCTGCGTGAGGCGGGTGGGAGGGCTGAGTGACAGCCCGAGGCAGGGTGTGCGCTGTGGGGGTGCAGGCCCTGGGTCCTGGGGGAGGAAGGAGGAAGGTGCACAGGGCCACAAGTGGGTCAGAGAAGCCTTTGTGTGGAACTCAGCCTTGGACAGAGCAGGCATCAGCCAGCGGAGGAGGAAGAGGGAAGCGTGTGCCCGGTACAGGGAACAGGTCACATGTCACATGGGGGGGCCCTGGGTGCCTTGGGTGGGTGAGAAGTAGTGAGAGTTCTGTGTGCCTGGGGCCAGGCAGGGGACAAGTGGGTGGCGCAGTGGTGGGTCACGAGGCGGACACGCAGGCACACGTTAGGTCGGGGACCACCCCGTCTGTCCCCTGGATGAGAGGACAAAATTCCCCAATCCTGCTTCCAACTCCATGCCATTGCATTTCAGGCAGACAGTCTGAACTCTGACCTCTCAAGGCCACTGCAGGGTGTCTCGGAGTGGACACCGTCTCTCCTTCCCTCCGGCGTGTAGGGAGAGCCCCCCACCGCTTCGTGCTGTCTCCCCAGACTTTGCCTCCAGGCCTGCGAGCCCCGTTCCCTGTCGGAGTGTTCTTCCTGTCCTTCTTCATTCCTTAGTTCCTGCTCCTTCTGCAGACCCTCCTGTGGCCCCGGCCCCGGCCCCCACTAAGCTGGCCTGTCTCCACACGCACAGGGACTCCCCTGTAGGCGTGGGTGGAGGAGCGAAGGCCGGACAGCCCCCAGAGCCCCCGCCTCTCTGCACGCTGGCTCTTGGGTTGGCCAGTGGCTGCGGTCTCCTGGGGCCCCGCCTGGTCCCCCGCCCCTCCCCAGGGGTCGTTCCCCTGTCACCGGGCCTGTGCGCGTTCGAGCAGGGACACTGCTGGCTGCCAAGTCACTAGGGACCGCCCCCCACCATCAAACCCGGGGGGGCCCTGAAACCGGCCCATCGGCCTCCCCCTCATGCGGCTCCCCGACCCGTGTCCACCACCTCTGCCAGCTTTCTGTCCGCCCAGGCCGTGTCCCCGTCCCTCGTCGGTCGCTGACCCGCGGCCCACTCACTGACCCCTGCCAGCCCCGGGCTCTCTCATGCCCCCTCTGTGCAGCACTCGGCTTGGAGCAGGGGCTGCACACATTTGCTCGAGGAACGTGCGAGTGTGACCTCCGCCTGCAGGTGAAGTTCCACGTGTGGCTAGTGGCTGCCTGTGGGGCGGCACAGCTCACAACACTCCCTGGCCACCCTGTTCCAGGCTCTGCTTCTCACCTTCTCCTCCCCAGATCCTGCGAGCCCCTCCCCGGTGCGGCCGCGGGGCCCGCGCTAGGCTGGCTCTGCCCCGTCCTGTCTGGCAGCTGGGCTCGGACCACTTCTCCCCCTGCACGCTGTCCTCGGATGCTGTGTTTGGCGTCCAGGAGGAAGAGACAGTCCTGCTTCGAGCCAAGACCCTGTCGGCCCCTCCTGGCTTCCCCCAGGGGCAGAGCTGCCCTGACAGCTTCCGGACGGCTGGGGAGCGAGGAGGACAGGGCACGGGCTGGGCCTGGCCGGGCACAAGAACGCACGACAGCCTCTCTCGTGGGACCAGCCGCACCAGCTCCTGTGGGCGCCCCCTCGGGGCGGGGCACGGATAGGACGTTGGCCCGTAACTATTCTGGGAAATGAGAGAGGCACTTAGGCTAATTTCGTCAATCTTATTTTCCTTAGGTATCTGGCTTAAAATGAGGGCCGCGTTCATGGAAAACGAAACAAGCAGGCAGGAGAATGAGATCGTTTGTATGTTTACTATGGTACAGCAAGATTTTCCACACCAGAGCCAAGGTCCTCTGCCGCCCACAGAGGCTCTGAGCACACCCACCACCCACGACATTTAAGACAATTCTTCGTTTCTCTGACAATGACTTCTCCAAGTGCATATATAATAAATAAATAGAAAATACATCTTTGTTCCTGGTGGCGCCAATAGGAAACGTTTACATACAAATCACACTACACATCGAATTCCCGAAAAAGGACCCGCTATTTCGGCAACAGGAAGGAGACAAGCATTTCAGAGGAGTGTCCTTTACCCTAAAGGCCCAACTCATGCGAAGGCTGACAGACAGAAAGAACCGTAGGGACAGTTTTCCAAGCCACAAGACAATCCGTGCCACCAAGAACGCGCCCGGCCACCAGCTGCGGCCACGGTGGCAGAGAGAAAGTGCGCAGATCCTACGTATGTCTAATACGTACAACTCTGAGGATTCTCAAATACGTCATTTTGGAAGGTAACCGAACCAAGGACAGTCCGCGTTCCTGGCCGCCCGAAGTGATCACATCCTAAGTGGTTCACAGTGTGAGACCCGTCGTGGTGACAGAGTCTGGAAACCCCGCAGAACCGTAGCCGCGAACGTGAGGTCATCTCGGCTCCCCTCTGCAGGGCCGTGCAGCTGCCCGCAAGGGGCCTGCCCGGGAGTAGGGCCTGGGCAGCTGCCACGTCCCTCTGCCACCTCCGAGCCGCTGGGAGAACTGGGGTGTTGGCTCAGCCTGGGGAGGGGGCCTCCTGCCCGAGTGTCATGCATGCAGCCAGGCACAGGGAGCCAAGAAGGCCCTCTTTGAAGAAAGGGTGTGTGGTTGGCGCAGGGAAGGGGAAAACGCAGCTCCCCGTGGAGCCCCCCGTGACCCGGGGACCTCAGCAGAGAGCGGGAGCGTCCCTCCTTCGCGGAGCTCTCTGCGGGGTGGTGAGCAGTAGCTGAAGGGCCCGCGGTGGGCCCCACGGCTCGGCAGGCCCCCTGGAGCAGCCACGCCAGCTCGCCAGAAGCATGGCCGTGTGCCCCGACACGGTCCCCCGGCCCCCGCCTGCAGGCGTGCAGACCCGGGGGCACCAGTGGGAGGGTCGTGGCTGCCGCGAGCCCTCTCGAGGGACGGCCGGTGCTTGGAACAGCGTGGACGCTGTAGGGCCGCCGCCAGCCCGCGGGAGGGCAGCCCTGTGTGCACAGAAGGCCATCAGCTAGTTCTCTCTATTCTGGTCAGTTTTTTCCTTCTGGGGGGCTCGGCCCCATCTGGGGAGCTCCCTCGGGAGCGCGGGACACTCTGGGGCCAGTTGTTGAGGCAATGTAGTGTGGCAGCAGGTGCTGGGCGTGGGGCTCCTGGCCCGGCCCCCGGCCTGGCTGTGTGGTTCTTCCCCGTGTCAGGGTCTCACGTGCCCCATCCAAAAAATGAGGGTTTGGGACTAGGTCATCATTAAGGTCCTTTCCAACCCCGAAACCCTGGGCTCATTGAGGGGTGAGCCCATTCAAGAGCACATGAGGCCCCAAACAGGAGCTCACTTCTCTCAACCTAGCTCCACCCCCGTCCGGGGTCAGAGGGGGGCTGGCTGGGGACCAAAGCGCTCCCCGCGGGGGGGCGATATAAGCCCCCCCAGCCCCCCCCCTTGCATGCTTGGCCGTGGTGAGTGGGCCAGCAAGCAACAGGCAGAGGGTGACCTGCAGTCACCAGCTTTGGCAGATGCAGGCGGGAAGGGCTGCACCTCCGAACCCCTCTGCTCACCAAGATGCCCTGCCCTTCCCTCCTGTGGGCCCCCTTCCTCCTCCTGCAGGAAGCTTCCTGACCCACCCAAGCTTGCGGGATCCTTCCCTGCAGGGCACCTGCGTGGGTCCTCATCGTCCCCCCTTCACATTCTCTACCTGGTATCGGAGGGCGTGCATACCTGACCGCCTGGGCCCCCAGCCTGCAAGCCCCTGACTCCAGGCCTGGCTTCTCACCACCCCAACCCTGCATGCCCCAGGCACCCCGCGTCACAGGCGCTGGCCCGAAAGCATCTCCTCATCTACAGCTGGGTTCTATGTGCGGTAGGAAAAGCCACAGACTTCTGGAATCTCACAACGGAAAGGGCTTCTAGAAGTCACCTAGTCCTCCCCCCATCCCAGGACCTGAAGTCTCCGGAAAGGTTGAACCCCTCCAGAGGCAGGGCTCGCCCATTCCCCGAGGGGAGCCAGTCCCACCTTGGCGAGTGCTGTCTACACGCCGGCTCCTAACCCCACAAAGGTTGGTGCTTGCTTACAGGAACAGAGATTTCCCCAAGACCGAAGACCGGTCTCTTCTTTCCTGTCTCCACCCACTACTGCGCGTGCTGGAGAGCACGGGGATCTGCGAATGGCTGGATCGGGGCTCCCGCCGAAGCAGACCCGGTTGCCAGCACCGCCCGGGCTCCTAGTACGCAGCCCCCCTCCCCCTGCAGAGGCACAGACAGGAGAGAAGCACCCAGGAAGCTGCAGGGAAGAGAAGGTCTCCGGCGTGGGCAGCTCCGCCCCCCGGGGCTGCAGGGAGACACTGAGTGGGGGCTGCAGGGAGGTGGGCAGCACCGGGCATCTCTGACAGCCCCCCCTCGGCCCATCAGGGCTGATGCTGCTGTGCCAGGGGCCGCCGCCTGGGGCCGCCGTCACCGCGCATCGGGGGCGGCACCGCGAGCAGGCCTCCTCACAGCTGCTTCTTCCTCACCACGGGGATCGGCACCACTTGGAAGATCTTGGCCTTGTGGTCGTCCGTGTCCAGAGTCACCCAGGTGGGCCGGAAGCTCCCTTTGAAGCCAACGAATGCCATCTTCTCTGGAAAGTAGGGGTGGGTCCCGTGAACAGAAGCCCCGAGAGAATGTCCACACCCCATCACCTCACAGGGCTCCCCGTCGCCATCCCCCTGCCCCTACCAGGGAGCCCTCTCCTCCTCGGTGCCCCACGGGAGAGCTGTGTCCGGCTGCTGAAGGTACCCGGTGTCGTTTGCAGGGGGCACGCGGGGTGTCACCTGAACCTCGGGGCCAGCTGCCTGGGGTGGTGGCTCTGCTTTACACAGGACACCTCCCGGGAGCGCCCGCCACCTTCGAGCTGAGCCCCCTGCCCCTGTCAGAAGCCCAGCGTCCCCATCTGTCTGCGAAGGATGGGCGCCTCTACAAGATCTCTCCCCCGCTCCCACATGCTGTGGCCTTAGAAGGACTTTGTCCAGGCACAGAGTGGACGGAGCAGCCCGACCAGACGTCGAGGCCTCGGCCCCGCACAGCGGTCTCCCTCTTGCATTCAGAGCTTAACCGTCTGAGGGGCGTGGGACTGCACGTCCACACTGGGGAACGGCCAGCCCGGCGCCCGGCACACACTTCTCACCACTGGGAAAGCACCACTCAACTGCGGTCACCTTAGGCATGTCAGCTTTTGGCAACAGGGTCTTAATTAAAAAGACAGAGGCCCCAAAGTGATTCCAGGACTGAGCTGGAGAAGAGACCTCTCTTTCCCTGGGGTTCTCTTTCGGCTCCTTTGAAGGGCCTTCATTCATGGTTCCTGATTTTTCTCCAGGAGCTGCCTGGAGTTAACGTCCCCTATGATGGGCGACCAGCGTTAGATGTTTCTCGTGGTCAGGATGGCATGGCAGCCAACGGCCCTGACTGGTCTGGACTAGAAATGTTCGGATCCAAATTCGAATCTTGGGCAAGTTACTGAAGTGTCTAATTCCATCTGAAATGGGAATAAGGGCACCGAATGCCCCGGTTCTTCATGAATTATAAGATGCTCAGCAAGGGGCGGGGCTGCACACCACACGTGGACCACGGTGGACATGAGTGTCCACAGACTCGCTCTGCCTCCCTCCCAGACTTCCCAGGGACCACCGCCACCCGCCCCCCCCAGCCTGCGGAGATGGTGATGAGTGTCAGGTGGCATTTCTGGGCGGGCTGGCTTCTTCCCTGCGGGGTCTGCGCTGGGCTTTGTCTCCGAAGTGCAGGGTGACCTTGAACAAGCCACCTAGATTCTTCGGGCTCCATTTTCTCCCAGGCAGGGGGGGACAAACAAGAGCTTCGCGGACTGGAGGGCGCCATGCAGATGCTGGACGACCGCCTGAGCATGGAGGAGGCTGTGGGCCCTGCCCGGCTGAGCAGCAGGACCTGGGACGACGGTCCGATCAAGCCACTTTCCTGCGGATACTTTTGTTCAAAAGCAGGGGGCACTTGCCGAGCAGACGGGTGAACCGCTCTAGCAAGTCTCTTGCAGTGTCTGGCCGCGCCTTGAGAGGGAGCTGCCGTGTGGCATGGAGACAGGCGGCACCTCGCCCATGCATTCCAGAAGGCCACCACTTGTGTTGAGGATCCGGAGGTTTGGTGGGAAGCACGGGGGTAGCAGCCACCGTGCCCCGGGCGTCTGGGCCCAGTCGGTAGACACCCCCTCTAGACCACTTACCTTTCAACTTGAGGCTCTTGTCTGCCCCGAGGTTTTCCAGCACTCTGGTCCAGGGGCCCCTGGAGGTGTATCTTCCCTTGGACACCATGAGCACTATGGAGCTGCGCGAGAGAAGGGGACGTTAGGGGCCGGAGGGAGGGCTCCTCCTGGGCGGTGGTGGCAGTCGGGGGTGGGGGGCAGTCAGCAGCGCCCAGAGGTCCGACCGGGGATTTGGGAAAGGGCAGCCTGTCCCATATGCCGTGTGCTGACCGACATCCTGAGCAGCCCTCCCACACATCCCTGAGCCTGCTCTCCCCCGGCCCGCTGCCCGCGCATGTCTGGCCCCAGTGAGGACAGAGTAGGTGCGCGGAGCACACCTCTCCCGGGGCGGCACGTGGAGGAGGGACGTCGGCTTGCACTTACTGGTTAGGACTAGAGAGAAAGCCACACCCTGGGGTTACTACACACTCAGGGGAGGGTTAACCTCCGCCTTCACGTCCCTTCCCTCTGCTCAGGCAAGACAGCACTACGGCTCGGTTTGCAAATGGGGAGAATGGGGAGAAGAGTAAGTGTGTGAGAGGGCCTGTCCAAGGGGAGCCGTGCTCGGGGGTGGGGGGCAGAGGCCCGGAGCTAGGGGTGCTCCCAGCCTGGCGCTCCCAACCTGCAAAAGCCCAGCTCTGGAGCAAGGCTCCCCTGCCTTGGTTGTGTTCAGGCCAAAGTGCTGGGAACGCAGGCTCCTGGCGGCAGACTCAGCCTGCCGGGC